TTGAGACAAATAAAGCTTTAATTTGATGGTATTTATTCACCACTGGGATTTTTATTTTTTTTGCTATATAAATGAAAAAGTCCAAAAAAATTTTGAAAAAAAGTTTTTCTTTTGAAAATAAATGATATGTCATCATAAACTTGGCCAAAATTTATTTAGTTATCTTTTTAGTAAAAAAATAACCCAAATTAGTTGATAACCAAAAATTATAATTTTTTAAAACATTTTTTACATTTTTTTTTATATTATTATATATGTTTTTTTACCAACTGTCTCCCCCATGGAGACACTATACTACTTGTGGGGGGAGATAAAAAGATTTTTTTTTTTTTTTTACACTGATTGCTTTTACACCCATAAAGGCTGTAAAAGCAATCATTTCTCCTTCTCTCTGGCTGCATTCTTGCAGCCATTGAGAAATACTGTGTGAGCTGTGATTGGTCACAGCTTGTCACATGGTACAAGGCTGTTGTGAATAGCCTTGTACCATGTGACGTCTGTGATCATTCACAGATTTCACACATAGTAAGTAATGATGTCAGGAAGTGACATCTTGCTTACTACTCTGCATGTGATCACTAATTGGCCAATCAGTGATCACATGATCAGGACCTCACACAGAGGTCCTGTACAGCGATCGGTGTTCCACTGTGTCCATAGGACACAGCAGGCACTGGACTGCTGAATGACTGGATGAACGACAACCCGCTCCTGGACTGCCACCGTCCAGCCGTTTATATACAGCGGCCGGATGGCAAGTGGTTAAGCTTTCACCTGATGCATGCAGGGCACACAAGATGCCTTAAAAAGTTGGGGTTGTGCTTTTACTACGAAGATACTAACTCTATATCCCTGGCTTATCAATTTGGTATCATTCAGGGTGAAGATTACACATTTTAGTTTCAAAAGATTTTCACTGTATTTTTTAAAAATGCAGCTGTTCAGACTCAACCCAGGTTATTAACCATTAGATGTCCAGCCATTTGATATAAATGCTGAACTGCTTACTCCAGAGGACGGGAAGATGGCTTCCTCTTTGTTCTCCTCCTGTGTGCCTTCTAGAGCACGAAATAGTGTACTCTGTTATGGCTTTCAGACACAGCAGATCGTAGAGTGGGGTAAAGAGCCAATGATCACAGCCATAACACATGTAACTGAAGTCTACATGTTTCAGCTAGTCTTCTGTTTCCTCTCACAATGTGTGCAGAAACATAGTGGCATCAGTACTGTATGAAACACTCTAAGATTGTTATTTTGTGGTTTTATTTTTTTTCACCTTGTCACTATAGCAGCCAGTCAGTGTCCTGGATCACTAGCCACCCCAGTACAACGTCACTATGGTGTACTGGGGAGGCTAGTGATCAGGAATACAAGCTGGATTCTTTGGTGACACTGTATGCTATCATACACAGCTGATGTTCTTGATCACTTTCCACAACAGTACAGTGCCACCATACCAGTGAAAGCAATGTTTGTTTTGATTATTGCCACATGACTCCCAGTGTCACCAGGCCAGGGTAATCCAGAAACAGCATTTCAGATCTACAACACACCAGTTGCAGTTTTTCCAGATGATTACAGCCAGCAACTGTGCTCCTGATTGCCGCCACACCAGTCCCAGTCCCATACAGTGGGGCAAAAAAGTATTTTGTCAGCCACCAATTGTGCAAGTTCTCCCACTTAAAAAGATGAGAGAGGCCTGTAATTGGCATCATAGGTAGAACTCAACTATGAGAGACAAAATGAGAAAAAAAAATCCAGACAATCACATTGGCTGATTTGGAAAGAATTTATTTGCAAATTATGGTGGAAAATAAGTATTTGGTCACCTACAAACAAGCAAGATTTCTGGCTCTCACAGACCTGTACCTTCTTCTTTAAGAGGCTCCTCTGTCCTGCACTCATTACCTGTATCAATGACACCTGTTTGAACTTGTTAGTATAAAAGACACCCTTCCCCAACCTCAAACAGTCACACTCCAAACTCCACTATGGTGAAGACCAAAGAGCTGTCGAAGGACACCAGAAACAAAATTGTAGACCTGCAACAGGCTGGGAAGACTGAATCTGCAATAGGCAAGCAGCTTGGTGTGAACAAATCAACTGTGGGAGCAATAATTAGAAAATGGAAGACATACAAGACCACTGATAATCTCCCTCGATCTGGGGCTCCACGCAAGATCTCACCCCGTGGGGTCAAAATGATCACAAGAACGGTGAGCAAAAATCCCAGGACCACACGGGGGGACCTAGTGAATGACCTGCAGAGAGCTGGGACCAACGTAACAAAGGCTACCATCAGTAACACTAGGTAAAAGGTAGATTTTAGAGGTTCAAATATAAGTTACTATATCACCCAATATATGGCTTCCATCCAGTAGCTAAAAAACATGCCGACAAAAAAAAGGGGGTTTGTGAAAAGAAATTCACAGGAAAGCGGCTACATTATGAACAGAATGCGATACTCAGAAAAATTTCCAAAAATTATGCTTTATTTTACATTAATGATTGACATACGGGCAATCGCCCTGGTTTACCATCACCTCAGTATGAGAAAATACACACAGAACTAAAACCATTAAAATCACACCAAGACCGGTCTAGGTATATGTACTGCAAAGGCTATGACCACAATAGTCTAAAGCACTTGCAGCACTGGCACACAGGTAACACTCCCTGGAGGAGGTATATTCCAAAAAATTATACCATAGGTATGCAATATCACATGCTATATATGTAAGCATATATCATTACCAAATAGGTTACACCCCTTAAAAGGAGATTTTCCAAAAATTGTACCAAAGGTATGTCATATCACATGCACGCAAAAGGGACAGACACAGTTATCATCTGGAGAGAGGCATGACCCTAAGCCTATATAAGGCAATATGGGTAAAACATTATATATAAGCAGTACAACCCTATGCAGGCACACGTGGTTGGGGCCCATTAATCTGTAATATACGTGAATAGTTGCAAGGATTCTTATAGCTGAAAGAGTCCCTGTTGTTGTCTTGATGGAGAAATAAATGCAAATAGCAGACTCCTGCTTTAAATGGTTTCTTCACCACAGCATGTGGACTGCAAACCACTTTAGTGTTGGAAACAAGATAAGGCCCAATAGATCTTCCGCCTGTTGCAATATATGTAGTATGCCTTGTTTCTATATATAGCACCATAATGTCCCCATCCTGTAATAAGACAAACGATATAAGGATAGTCACTGTAAGAGCTTTCACTCTATAGTATATATATAATATCATATAGATCGCAAGGAGCCTTTTTCAAATGTCCTGTAACAGTCCACTCACCACCTGTGCAATGGGTAGTAGAAAAAAGAAGCGCACTGGTGATATGCACGCCGACCTACAAGGAGGTAGCCGTTTTCACATGCCATGAGTCATGCAAAAGCTGTACAGGCGCCATGGAGAGGTTGGAACCCGCGAAATGTCGGCTGATGTAAGCGGTGGTTCCCTGGATCAACACGGCAGTACCTATGAAGGATTTTTCTTCTTTTTTCTACTACCCATTGCACAGGTGGTGAGTGGACTGTTACAGGACATTTGAAAAAGGCTCCTTGCGATCTATATGATATTATATATATACTATAGAGTGAAAGCTCTTACAGTGACTATCCTTATATCGTTTGTCTTATTACAGGATGGGGACATTATGGTGCTATATATAGAAACAAGGCATACTACATATATTGCAACAGGCGGAAGATCTATTGGGCCTTATCTTGTTTCCAACACTAAAGTGGTTTGCAGTCCACATGCTGTGGTGAAGAAACCATTTAAAGCAGGAGTCTGCTATTTGCATTTATTTCTCCATCAAGACAACAACAGGGACTCTTTCAGCTATAAGAATCCTTGCAACTATTCACGTATATTACAGATTAATGGGCCCCAACCACGTGTGCCTGCATAGGGTTGTACTGCTTATATATAATGTTTTACCCATATTGCCTTATATAGGCTTAGGGTCATGCCTCTCTCCAGATGATAACTGTGTCTGTCCCTTTTGCGTGCATGTGATATGACATACCTTTGGTACAATTTTTTGGAAAATCTCCTTTTAAGGGGTGTAACCTATTTGGTAATGATATATGCTTACATATATAGCATGTGATATTGCATACCTATGGTATAATTTTTTGGAATATACCTCCTCCAGGGAGTGTTACCTGTGTGCCAGTGCTGCAAGTGCTTTAGACTATTGTGGTCATAGCCTTTGCAGCACATATACCTAGACCGGTCTTGGTGTGATTTTAATGGTTTTAGGTCTGTGTGTATTGTCTCATACTGAGGTGATGGTAAACCAGGGCGATTGCCCGTATGTCAATCATTAATGTAAAATAAAGCATAATTTTTGGAAATTTTTCTGAGTATTGCATTCTGTTCATAATGTAGCCGCTTTCCTGTGAATTTGTTACCATCAGTAACACACTACGCCGCCAGGGACTCAGATCCTGCAGTGCCAGACGTGTCCCCCTGCTTAAGCCAGTATATGTCTGGGCCCGTCTGAAGTTTGCTAGAGAGCATTTGGTTGATCCAGAAGAGGATTGGGAGAATGTCATATGGTCAGATGGAACCAAAATAGAACTGTTTGGTTGAAACACAACTCGTCGCGTTTGGAGGAGAGAGAATGCTGAGTTGCATCCAAAGAACACCATACCTACTGTGAAGCATGGGGGGGTGGCAACATCATGCTTTGGGGCTGTTTCTCCGCAAAAGGGACCAGGACGACTGATCCATGTACAGGACAGAATGAATGGGGAAATGTATCGTGAGATTTTGAGTGCAAACCTCCTTCCATCAGCAAGGGCATTGAAGATGAAACGTGGCTGGGTCTTCTAACATGACAATTAGAGATGAGCGAAGTATTCAAAAATTCGATTCGACTGATTCGGCGAATTCGTGGAAAAATTTCGATTCGAGTCGAATATATTCGCTGTGAATTAACTTAAAAAAGGGTGTTTCTAGGCTTCAGAGAGACTTAATATTAGTGCTGAACACTGTACCTTTAATTTAAATGCCCTTGGAGTCTGCTGGGGAAGAGAAATAATACTGTCAGGCAGTCCAAAACCAGAGTGTGGAGCCACAGTGTGTGGCGGTGGAGGCAGCAGCAATGGGAGGCCATACAGCACCCTATGACAAAAATGGAAACCACCAGCAGTGTGAGGAGACCTGAAAGTGGCACATGGCAGAGTGTGGCGATAGAGACAGCAGCAATGGGAGGCCGTTACAGGGACCCATGACACACTCTGGACCTGGCAGCAGCATGAGGAGGCGGTACAGGGGCCCATGGCAGATTACGGGCCTGGCAGCAGCATGAGGAGTCGTAGGGGGCCCAGGCAGATTACAGGCCTG